CAAATTTTGGAAATTAAATTTAGAGTTATAGACGATCGAAGTGTGCACATGCGACGGACTGTTTGGCGCCACTATTATAGACTACAACCGGAGAGAGATTTTGGATTCAGTTCAATTTATGTAGTTGGAGAATTCGTTTCTTTCTTTATTTACATTGAAAATCATGTTCTGTACGATATCGCTTCCTTTTCATTTTGCCTTAGAATTAAGTTAATTTTCATAATTTTTCTATCCAAAAACAGTAGCAATAGTAAATTAATCCTTGTTTAAATACCTCTGATCTACTGTAAAAATAAACCTCCAATTTCGGTGGTTTAAATTGCTTTAATACACCGTTAACGATTTATATCGTCGGTATCATCGGTATTCAAGATCTTTTTTTTTCAAAGATATTTTTTATTGACATCTTTAGCAAATCCAATAAATATATTTATAGGTATAGAGGTCAGCAACTCTATAATGAGTCACTACTAAGAACCAGAAATATAATAGAAAGAGTATTTGGAATTTGGAAAAGAAGGTTTCCAGTGTTGGCATATCGCTTAAGATTAAAACTAGATACAGTTTTGTCCATTATTCCAGCTGCAGCTAGACTACATAATATTGCTAGATACATGAATAAACCAGAGCCCCATTGCCTGATGATATTAATGCCATGAACTGGAGTACCCTGTTGTTACTCATCCACAAGATCGCATTGTGTTTCAATATCAATTAATACAAGATTATTTTGCGAATTTATAAAATTCAATTTGAATAATATTTTTGATGTGTTATTTAATTTATACTAGTTTAAAATTAAAATAAAATAAAGTCACTTCTTGTTTATTATTATAATACGTATATTAAGTTTTTCTTTTCTTCTAAAATTTTTAAATCCTGTTCTAATTGTTTTAGATCTATCTATCTCTTTGTTTTCAATGATACCCTTGTATCCACTAGATTAATTAAATGCTTTTATTCATTTTCTGAAAAATTTGAGGAGCGCCCCCTTTTTTCCATATTATTCCATATTATTCCCTCTTACCATCAACTGAATCGGTCGTACATGAAATAGAATCGAACCACAGATAAAAAAGAATCAAACCACAGATTATAAAGAATCGAACTCTTAACGTCAAAATATATTTGCTTCACAAATAAGTGCGAAGTTAGTTATAACCACCAATCTTTTCCATTTTTAGTAAAATTCCCTAGATCACTAGTTAAATTTTGAACCATAGTAAAAAAAATCACGGTGCAAGATTTTGGACACTAATCTCCTATTACGTTGTCAGTTTATTTAACTGATCAGTTAGAGAAAACGGTGCAAGTGGCCATAAAACATCTAAGTAACATAAGGTTTTATTATTGCTGTAACAGCAACAAAAAGGAGAAACATTTTATTGCCTGTAAGGCCTATTTTTGCATTGATAATAAAACCTTGCATTTTTAGTTAAGAATAAATATAATTGAATATTTCAGAATACCTTGTAAACTAATCATAAATTTCAAGGTCAATGTTAAGATGCTTTAATAGGTGCATGTCAGTGCATACTGCTTTTCATATGCGAATATCTTTTGATTGGTTAGAGTAATCGATAAATCCTAAGAGACCTTTTTTGTAGAGCGTTCAATTTCCGATAGAAATAGTAAAATCTCAATTGTCGATAATTTTTTTTCAGTAAGTTACAAAATTCAGAAAAGCAAAGTTATCTTTCTTAAAATTCTTCAATCTTTGACCTTGAATATCTCTTTAATAGTTAGATTGATCAAAAAAGTATAAGAGATCTTTTTTGTAGAACATTTAATTTTCTACAAATAACTCTTTTAGAGTTTTGCTGTATGATTAACGAATGATGAGATATGAATTTTTTGTAGGGGACTAGGAAAAATATGCAAAACTGTAATGAGGCGGATCTTCCCATCAAAGTTAAAAGCTCATCGTTGCTAAGCATGTTTTGAAGGTGCCCAGAAACCGATTTTTCAGTGGCAGAAGTCAAAATAAAAATAGTAGATTTTTTTGACCCACCCTAATATATATATTATTATTTTATGTATCCAACATATATTTTGTTAAATAATCTAATATATAATTAATAATAATCCTATTTACCTCTCTAACAGCTGTTAAAGGTAACAAAGGTCCATTATTATCGCGTTCTACTTTAAAATAGCGTATTAAGGATGTAACCAACTCTTGACTCCGACTATTTAAATGCTTCGGCATTTTAAATATAGGAAAAACAAAAAAACGATATATAACAAACAAAAAAACGGCAATGAAAACTTAAAAGATATAAAATAACACAACCAACAAACAAAATAAACAAAATTATACACTAATTAAACGAAATATTCAAAACACAACTGAGCTTCGAAATTCTAAAACGTCACTTTCTTTTTCTATGCGTCATTTTATTAAGCAAAATTTTAATCTAAACATGACAACATTGCAATTGCTGCCAACTAAAGTTGTTTAAAACGCATTAATATTCAATTACAGACTTCGTTTTATATATTTAGTGTTGGTACCAGAGCGCAAAGTTATGACGTCATAGAAACCATTTGTAATTCAAAATTGTGCATTTGTGATTGGTGGAAATTAAGACGAGGGAAATAGTCAATAAAAATTATTATGGTCTCTTTATTCCTTTATTACTCCATATTTCTTCTCAAACGTTATCTCCAAAACGAAATACTTTTATATTTATTGAACTGATTAGCCAGACCCTGTAAATAAAGTAGAAAAATATACAAAGCTCGATCCCAAACTCAACTACGTAAAGAATCACATTCTATAGAATAGAAGAAATAAAATAAAAGACCCATATTAAGGCAAAACCTCGGAATGAATTTATATGAATTAAACATGAGAAGCGTTTATTTGCCTACTTCTTTTAAAATAATCAAAAGGAATTCGTTTTGAAAGCTTTTTACATAAAAAATAAAATATTTATGTGAACCAGTCAATAAATCAATATATAACTGCCTAAAGGAAGATTTATTAGGATATTTATATAGTTTTCCTTTCATACACACAGACTATTGGCAAAAACTAAAATTACTAGAAAAGTTTTACTTTAAGGTAAAAACTTTGATGTTAGAAAAACTAATCAATCAAAGTCTTAGCACTTCTAAATAATAAAGTTTGTTTCAATCATATTATATAGAATATGTGTATTCTGAATACGTTTTCAGTTGTGAAACTGGCTTTGTACTAAACTGTGGAGAAAATGTATCATTCTCCACAGGTTACTGTCCAATGAGACGACGAGATTTCACTTTTCCTTACGGTAGTATGACGATTATATGGTGGTTTTCTGTTTTCTTAAAAAATCAGTGACACTGATATTTGCCATCAAATATGTTTGTTGTGGTAGTTGTAGAAAACTGTTTTAAATTGTTTAATTATATTATAACTTTTGGCCATTCCATCTATTTTTTATTTGAGTCTAAGCATACATCCATGGATTTAAAAAATTGGATTTTTTTATATAATATACACATATCCAGCATTGAATGCTACGTTGCCAATGTGCAATAAATCAAACCTTCTGAAAAGATATATTCCTTTTATAACACTAGTTTAAAAAATCAAAAAAAATTCTGCCCACCATATCCCATTATAATTTTCTCATGTATTTTGACCCACTAAACACGAAAATCACATTCAATTTTTTTTATGTAAGTGTTTTTGAAATATGAATTTTCAATTGTTTTTTTTTTTTAATTTTCGGAGGTGTTTTGACGTTTTTGAGTATAGCTTGAAATCTAATGGATCAATTTGTTCAAACAAGCCCTTAAATTGAAGGTATTTGGACCCTCTAAAACTTTCTTTTACATACTTTTGATATCGGATAAGTATTTTGACGCTAGCGATTTTAATAACTTAAAAAACTCGTTTTTATGGCAAAAATTGAGATCGAAAATTTACATATAGTCCTGGGAAGGGTTTAAATAAAACATATAACTCCTGTTTAAATTTTTTTTCGTGAAGCTGATATTTTTATAAAAAAAAGAAGCTAATGTTGATAAAAATACATAGAAAAATGGCGAAGTTATACATTTTTAGAAGGCCAAAATTTAGCTCTTTGACGATTTTTATTTTTTTTTCTTTTATTTTGTAATATGTTTATTCTTTAATGAAAACCCAAATAAAGTGCATGATTGGAATTTTTTGAGTTTTTTACGTACTTTTTTCATTATTCAAAATTTAAATTTGACATGACTCCGCAAACGTGAGTTCTTTTGTTTCTCGTGTTGGCATAGTGACATTTTACTGATATTTTTTGATATTTCAACAAGGTATTTTTATCATGGTTTTATTTAGTTAAAAAAAAGTGTAAAATGAGTAAAAGAAGTAAAGAGTTCGAGTGCGTAAATAACCCGCACAATCTGGGCGACGTAAGTGATGAGCACGGAGAACGTTTTCACCAGCAAATGAAGGCTATGGAGCGGCAGTATCACGGCTACTGGGATGCAGCCATGATGGGTGATTACATTTGGTCCATCATACGAGAAACGGAATACTAAAGCAACAAAAAACAAAGTTTAAAACTATGCTTATTACAACAAAATAAAACTTTCAATTTCTTCAATGTTCAATATTTATTGTTTAATATTCAATATATAACTTAATTTCAATTTTTAATGTTTAAAATAAAAATCAATGTTCAATATTAAATTTTATATAATTCGAAAAAATGAAAAAAAAAATCGACCTCGATTTTTGTAAAAAAAGGACTTTTTCAACTTTATAAAATCGCCAGTAGCGAACTACTGAGCCGATAACAAAACTATACAAGAGAATGAGAGCTACGTTATATCAAATATCCAATGTATTAGAATTGGAAATTTGTACCTGTGTAAATAAAACAACAATTATTTCAAAAACTCCCTACACTAAAGGATCAAAATTAATTAAAAAAACCCTTTGGTGGCCACAAAAAAATAAACAAATGTAAATGCAGTAATGCAGGTGATTATATGGGTCAGTAAAAATGTTAATTTTGTTGCAGCTGACATTTTCAAAGTGGACCATCACACACAACCTCACCATCCCTGAGTTGCGGAATCAGTATGCAGAACAGGTAATCAGCACATGTGCATGGTTGTATATCATTTTAAATTAAACCCGCCAACGCTATTTACCAATTTTGCTTGGTTAGGTACACTTTTAAAGTTTAAATGAGTATTTAGTTGAAATAGTTTTATCGATTTTTATTCTTAATCCTAAAATGTTTCCTATTGTTATATCTTGTAACATAAAAATAATACAAATGCTCTGTTAAAATTTTGTATTGTTTAATTAAAATTATATATCAAGTCAGTTTTAGTAGGGTAAAGTAAACAGTTATTGGACACTTTATAGTTATTGGACAATTAACATTAATACTGTAAAATCATTAGATAAACGCTACTTTATTTTAGGTCCAATATACTTTGGTGGTAAGATTTTTTTTGTTAAGAGCCAGGGCTGTGTTTAAATTACAATCAAAAATATTTCTAAAAAGTATACAGATCAGTGTGTGTATGTATTCCTCATGGTTTAAACATTGTCACTTTAATGCGTTTTAATTTTAATTCTGAAAACAAACAGTAAAATGGCCAGTGTCCAATTACTGGTGGGTAAAAATATATAAATTTCTATTATTGGACATATGTCCAATATCATACTCTATTTATTTCCCGGGCATTTACCAACCATCTCTTATGTAATTGTCCCCTGAATCCGAAAAGACCGTCAAAAACTATAAAAGTTAAGCAGTTTTTGAGATATAGTCAATTCCATATTGTATGTAAAATTGATTTTATTTCAAAAACTGTTCTACTTTTATAACTTTTGACGACATTTTCGGATTCAGCGAATAATATTTCATAGAAATTGACTGCTAAATGTCCTAAATACAAATTTCTGTTGACGAGAATTATTAGTGGCTGCTTTTTCGCTATGACATTTTTGACTAATTCATTTTTAGAGAGTAAGTAATATAGTGATTTCTTCGTCACAGAACATCTTGCAGAATAACAGTGCATGATAGAGAACATATAAAACTAACGGCAACAAAATTAATAAATTCGGAAAATACTTTTAACATACCACCCGAAAAAATATTAGATATATATAAATCATCCTGTTCCGGCCTAAACATTATAAATGCTTCACAAACTAGAGATACCACACTTAATGATATTTGCAACAAACTATTTTAGAAGTCAGACCAAGGAATTAGTAGTTACCTTCAGAATCCAGAAAAGGGATGAGGATTTACAAAAACGAAATAACGAAATTACCTAAAACCGCAATTTATTTTTAAAAAATATTTAACAATTTATGTTATTTAATGTAAAGTTGTCATGTTTATATAAAAATTGTATGTCCAATAACTATGTTCCATTTGTCCAATTACTATATAAAATATCCAATTACTATACTTTTTTGCATGTTTTTATAAAACTATTTTTAAATATTCTTATTTTTAAGTAAACGTAAATAAAGTTTAAACAAACAAACTATCCTTTTTATATTTTTAAATAAATAATATTCCTTAAATGTCCAATAACTATGTGGTTTACCCTACTATGAAGATAGAATTTTAAAACCATTTTATTGGAGTCTGTATATCATCATGTTAGAACCTCGTGAGTAAAGCTGCTAGTCTTATAAAAATAAAAATAACACACAAATTTTGTCAATAAATAATTACTAAGAAATAAAAACTAAAAATATAAAAATGTCTATAAATACTTTTAAGAGCATTGTAAACCAAAAGCATAAGTATTTTAGTACGGTTATGGATTAAATCCATCCTTAAATAAAAACATAAAAGTAACCAAAATTGTCATATCAATATTTTTATGGGCCTGCACATCAAATCGCAACGAGCGATCGTAAAGAATTGGAGATTTTGGGTGTGGAGGCAATAGAACAAAGATTTTCATAGAGCTGTCAACGTGACCTATATGACCGAGAAAATTATGTTATTTTACGTGGATCAATTTCATAGCTCCAGAAAGCAATGGGTCGTAAAATTTAAGGAATATTTTCGGAAAAGTCCTGAAACAAATAAGAGGATTTTCAACGAGATTACATTTCGAAATCAAATAATTAAATTCATAATTTACAACCAGAGTTGAAAATACCAACACCGAAGTGTTTTTGTTTAGGTAATAGTCAACATCTGCTTTGTCCCTTATTAAAAATCTTATTTAAAAAGTATCATGCCGTCTGTTACGGCAAACTTTTTGATTTTTAAAGTTCACTGATAGCTTTCCATTGTCATATTCCATCAACATAAACTGGATTAATGAAAAATGTACACGAAATTTTCAAAGTTAAAAGTTGCCTTTAAAAGTTTGTCGTTTACGTACTCAATTATTATAAGTAAATAAACTAAAGCGATGACAAAGTCGACTCGAAGTTAATCCTATGTGTATAGTTATTAAAAAAGTTTTTTAATATTCTACAGGCGTTATCCTCAGAGCTCGAGGAAGTAGACAGTAGGAGTGGGGGGTGGTCCAAGTGGTCCGAATGGTCTCCTTGCAGCAGATCCTGTGACGGAGGAGTCTCCAAGCAAATTAGGAGCTGCAAAACCAGCTCTTGTCGAGGAGAGCATGTTCGATACAAAATTTGCAATATGCAGGTTAGTGACATCATAAGAAAATATGTTTTTAAATAAAAATAAATGGTACCTTAACATTCGTCGAATAAGCTTAAGCTAAAGAACTCTAAAAGAATATTTATCCCATAACCGATTTTAGTTTTATAAGCACATTACTTAACGTATGTGTCACTTTCTTGGAAAGTAATCATGGGCGTTTTTTTACCAAATTTGCCATTTTATTGGAACGTTTTGTTGTAGACTAAACATATTGTTCATACGAATTTTGATACTTATTGATGCGTATTTTCAGTGAAAAATGTTTTGATTGGCTGCCTGAAATCACGTGTACTTTTTCAACGAATAATAATAATAATAATATGTAACCTTTGAAATTAACAAAATGTCGGATTTAAACGAATATTAAAGAATATTGTAGATAAATTAATGGACAATCACTCACATTTTAAAAAATTACTGAAAAATGAACGTACGTTTAAGTTTTAAGTTTAAGACACTCTGTAGAGTGGCAAAACCGTATATTGTTCTAAATTAAGCTTTATTTATCAAGTCACAAACAGTTTTGTTTTTGGTTCACCTCGATATATTTATTTTTGTGGAAAATATGGATTTTTTTAAAAAACATTGCAATTTCCAATATTTTTCTGTATGAAGAACCATAGGCTATGGAGAATGAAAGTGACAGTTTTGTTGAATCATCCCATACTTGGACATGTCATACACGGCTTTCAAAAGCTATCAAATTGTTTTTTGCAAATTAATGTTTAAATTTTGAGTTGTCTTCTTACATTAAAAAATGGATATGTCTCCGACTGATGTTGCCGGAGCCATTAATTTAATCCAGTGTTTTAAACGTCTCAAGAAGTAAAGTACAAAGGGCAACATCAGTCGGAGACATTTTTAAAAGTAAGAAGACACCTCAAAATTAACACATTAATTTACAAAAAACAAATTGATAGCTTTTGAAAGCTGTATATGACATGTCCAAGTAAGGGATGATTCAACAAAACTGTCACTGTCATCCTCCATAGGCTATGGATGGACCAAAGCAACCTTAGTTCTTCATACAGGAAAAATATTGGAAATTGCAATGTTTTAAAAAAAAATCCATATTTTCCTCAAAAATAAATACTTATATCAAGGTGACCAAAAACAAAACTGTTAAAAATAGATGTGACTTGATAATTAAAACTTAATTTAAAACAATATACGGTTTTGCCACTCTACAGAGTGTCTTAAGCTTATGGTAAAAAACATATTTTTGTTTAAACCTGTATATTATAAACGTACTTGTATTTTTTAGTAATTTTTAAAATGTGAGCGATTCTCCTGTGAGTGTACAAACTCATGTTAACAAATTTAATTTTTATAACATTGTATAATATTAATAATTTTGAAATTAAAACCATATTTTACTATCGTTGCAACGCGTTGTCAGTCATTGCATTTTTACTTATATGGCAACGTTGTGTACCTGGAATTTGAAATCGATTTAATTTTGTTAATAAATTGTGTTTTTAAGGTAAATTATCTTTCTAATTAATATTTTATTCACAATAAGTGTATTTTCATAAACAAATATTTCGTTGATTGTAAATTTATAATATATTCATTGCAAGTTCATTAAACATTTCATTAAACGATTGTTGATTTAATTTTAGGCATTTGTATAAAATTATATTAAATTTAATTCGTTTAACGTTTATCAGACAGCCTTTGATAAATAAATAAAATCTAATATCTGCTAAATGGTTAACCTCACTTTTTACGCCTTCTCCCAATTTAAAACCCGATAGGTTCAAATCACTGTGAATATTGAAATAGACCAATCACTGATGCCTGAAAATGTGAATAATGAGTTCATTATTCCCGTTAGGCAGGGAATTTCGTTAATCATTATTAACAAAAAAAACAATGATATACATTGTATATACCTAGTCAATGACAATACATTTTTGCCATAAGTTTTACATTATGGTAATGTTAACTTCCTTATTATGTTAAAATGTTTAACCTTTCGTAATGGTAATCCTTATTACCTAATAAATCTAGACTTTTAGTCTGCGACACTATCAATAATGGCGAATGCGCCGGGATAATAAATTAAAAACATAATATTATAATTTGATGTTTTATATTAGTAGTACCTATCTATCTGTCAATTTAAAGTTAATTTTGTATTATGAAAATAATATAATATATGTATGTATTTTTTGGTTCCAATTTAGAATAGGAAAATAAGTATATAGGTAGTAATATTTTCAAAAAATAGGACGAAATTAGCGTTAACCTGACTGAATTATTTGTATTTAAATGTGAAAGTGCAACTTTTGTTTGTGAAGCATACGCTAAAGAAGCATCGGGTTTTCGCAAGGCGCGCGCCATCTGGTGGTGTTCGAAAAACTTTGGTTTAGTACTCGATTTCGATTTATTCCTTATATCATTAATTAATAAACTCAACGCTTATATCCTTATAGAGTTACTAGTGTGTCCGTTATTTACCAACTCGGTTTTTTTGTTCGAAGCGCCCCATAAATTTTTAGTTTATAACCTAAAAAATTATTTAAAAAAAACACAAAGACGATATATTTTCCATTTCAATAACATGGGGTTTCGGCAAGTTTTACATTTATTTTTTTTCTCCCGAGCAAGTTAATATTCAGCAATAAAGTAAAAGTAATACAAATTTTTATAGCAAATTAAACGCTGTACAAAAAAGTACTTTTATTATTTTTTGATAAAGTCACTGGTTTAAAAGTTATTTAAGTTAAAATTGAACTTTGACTGTAACATTATAATTATTAGGGATGGGATATTTAGGTACTAAAAACTGAAAAATAGGTAACTAAAAAGGTACTAAAAAAAGCATTTTAGGTTCAAAAAACAGCATTTTAGGTAAAAAAAAAAAAGTTTATTTCGTTTATAATTTTGTTTAGCCGCATACCCAAACACAGAACATACCCACAATAAACTATTTATATGCAATAAACTGTGTTTTACTGAGTGATACTCACTACACAGAAGTTTTATGACAGAACTCACTAGTAGTGAGTCACTACAAAGAAGGTAACTATAAAGAAAGTTACTGTTACAGTCTGTAACCATAAGAAAATATTCTATACCGTTGAGTTGCACGCCCTGGATAAAATATTGGCGCAAATTTTAAAAAGAACAAAAAAATAAAATAAGTAAAAATACGTAAACATAGGTAACAAATAGGTATATGAAAATAAACTGACAAATTAAAAAATATGTAACAAAAGTATAAAAAGGTAGTTTAAAGCAAAAACCTCCAAAAAAGGTAAAAAAGGTGGAAAAAAGTTAAAAAAAATAGGTAACAAAAGTATAAAAAAGGTAGTTAAAAGCAAAAACCTCCAAAAAAGGTAAAAAAGGTGAAAACAAGTTAGGTTCATATAAAAGAAAATCTTTTAAAACACATTTTGGCATTATTGGTTTTCAAATAGTTACATCGGTTAAAAAAAGGTAAAATAACTAAAATCCCATCCCTAATAATTATTTTTATGAAAATGAATTGTTTAATTTTTGAAAATATGTGATATTATTGTATTATTAAAAAAATTATTGCCATTTCACGCGTAACGGACAGGACAGTTGCCGTGTTTTTATTTACAAAATAATATTGTTCTATTATATTACCAATGTCAAATTTTTATAAATAGTTCTTAACTAAAGCTGTTTAACAAGGTTCTTATTTGGCAAAATTAGGTATCGTGGTTGACTGTTTAATTCCTTAAAAACTAATAATTTAAAGCGTAACGGACGGGACTTTGTAATAGTATTAATTTTTAAGTAATTAAACAGTCAATCACGATACCTAATTTTGCCAAATAAAAACCTTGTTAAACAGCTTTTGTTTAGAACTATTTATAAAAATTTGACATTGGTAATATAATAGAACAATATTATTTTGTAAATAAAAACACGGCAACTGTCCTATCCGTTAAGCGTGGAATGGCCCATAAGTGAAAATTATTGACAAGAAATTCCGATAAATGTTCTACTAAATTTTAACTTTAACCTTAAATAACTTTTAAATCAGTGAATTTATGAAAAAATCATAGGTATGGCTTTTTGTACAGCGTTCAATTTTCTATAAAAATATGTATCTCTTATTGCATTTTCATGTTTTGCCAAAGGACCCAATTCGGTACGTATATTTGTTGGCGCAGAATTAACTAATGATAACTTTACCTAATATAATTTATATTTGGACATTTTTAGGAAATCTAAAAAAACAAACATAACCTTAAAATGAAATATTTTTATATTTCAGTGCTTTAAAAAACGCCAATATATCATGGCAACAAAATATTATATATAATATATAATATAATACCCGTTTTTGGTATTTTACCATCGCCCAACAGCACAACAAATCGTTTTGTTTTCGATATTTTTAATTGTAATACTCTTAGGTACATTATTAAGAAACCTCCAGACAACCTTTACACAGAATTGTATAATTCATATAAATACAAATTTTAATGTGGGCGCGCACATTTCACCATTTTTCTATATTTTGGTTTTTTAAAAGCTTGCATGTATATTTTTAAAATTCTCCACATTTGGGCCATTTAAGACAACAGACAAACTCCAAAATGTAGGGATTCGAAAGTCCTTCAAAATGAAGTATTACTCGATACTCATTACAGATTTTAGGGGGTAGCTCCTTGGCACAGAGGGTTAAGGTTGGTGGCTGATAATTTTTAGATTTTATCGTGCATATTGTGCCCCATATTTAAATAGTTTTTAATTCATACCTTTCACGGCCTTACTTAAGCTGAATTTGCTTGAAGTACGTTCATGTTAACTGGGTTGCGTGTTGTTGACTAAGCGAGAACATTTTTAATCAACCGAGTGTAAACTAAAACAACTGCGTAATCTCCTCCTATTACATCGAACTGAAACTCTCTTGTGTCTCCTTTAAACTTTTCAAAATAGTTAAAAGTTAGAAATGGAGGATCGTCAGCATGTAAAAAGACGAAACTTTACGTACTCAA